TCTTTTGCTTAAAGCTAATGCCCTACCACTTGAGCCATAGCATCATTTCTGTTTTTTCTGAGTAGTTTATTGGAGATAAGAGTTTCATGGACTTTCCTGTCCGCCTGGTTTAGAACCATGCAGGCTTCTCAAATCTCAGCCTCCTGAGTAGCTAAGATTACAAGTGTGAGCCACTAGTGCCTGGCTTACAGATCCTGTTTTTTTTTTTTTTTAATCTTTATGTATTCTTTGATTCAAGGTGAACAGAGAGGGAATCTCACTCCACTTTTATTATTTTCTTTTAAATGAAGATATAAAACAAAGAGATACTCAGGTAACAATGTGAAAGGGGGTGTTATATTTATAGCACTGCATTTAAATCACAGGGAATAGATTAAAAGGTCCTGCAGAACACTCTCCCAAAACAAAAGAGCTTGAAGGTCACCCACAAGGCAGACATCAGGGACATCTTCAACACTGATTTCCTTTTCCAGAAATTATTATTTCTTTTTTTTTTTTTTTTTTTGTCGGTTGTGGGCCTGAACTCTGGGCCTGGGCACTGTCCCTCAGCTCTTCAGCTCAAGGCTAGCCCTCTACCACTTGAGCCACAGCGCCACTTCCGGCTTTTTCTGCTTATGTGGTGCTGAAGAGTCGAACCCAGGGCCTCATGCATGCAAGGCAAGCATTCTACCACTGAGCCACCTTCCCAGCCCCAGAAATTATTATTTCTAAATCCTACATGTTTCCTGTTTCCTTGTTAGTTAACTTTCTGCTAATAACTCCTGGTGTGTTTCTTTCTTATAAGAGACTAGGAAATATAATTCCTTAACATGACCTTTCTAGAAATATACAATTTATTCCTGTTACATAAATACTAACTTCAGGCTTACTGCTTTCTTTCTTTCTTTATTTTTATTGTGAGAATACCATACAGAGGAGTTACAATTACATGGGCAAGATAACGAGTACATTTCTTATCAAGCATTGTTGCCTCCTCTTTGTTTCCCCTTCCCATCCCTTCCCATACTCCTCCCCTCCCCAGACCCGATCCTCCCCCCAACCCCCACAAAGTTGTTAAGTTCCTTTTTCGACATAACAACTTGTACATCTCATTGTTGCAATGGGCCCACCTGTATCCCTAGTTAAATGATTTGTTTTTTCCCTTCCCCTCCACAAATTATACCTACATCAAAAACAATGAAAGTATGGGACATACAAAGCAACATAGAAATCATCTTATAAATATGATAGAAACAATTGTATGAAAGAAAAAAAAAACAAAAAAAACCACGAATACTTATCTTGGGGTTCATTCCTCTAACATCAACTTATCTGACTTTTCTGCTTGACTCAGACATATACTAGTTATTGCAAATAAGGGAAACCATGGTTTACTGCTTTCTGAGTTATGACTTGTTGGTGTCCTAATATTGCAGTTAGTGTAGAAAACAAATACAAAAAATATCTTTGGAACAATGAGATGTACAGTCGTTATGTCAAAAATGAACTTTACAACTTTGGTGGGGGGGGTAGCGGGGAGGATTGGGTGGGGGGGGGGGAGGATGGGAAGGGATGGTAAGGGGAAACAGAGGAGGAGGCTACAATGCTTGATAAGAAATGTACTCATTATCTTGCCCATGTAATTGTATCCCCTCTGTACAGTATTTTCACAATAAAAAATACAAAAAAAACTCTTTGGTAGCACAGACAAAAAAACAGAGATAAGATTTATTCTAAGACAGAGTGACATACCCCATTAAATTTGATTAAGTAAAGGAATTGGAAACTTAATTAGCATCATTTAGGTTTAGTAATTTCTGGAATAACACTAAAAATGTCTCTTGAAACCTTCAAAATACTATATAACCAATAGAACCAATAGGTAGAAAGTAAACTAATTTTTGTTCAGTGGACATCAATCAACCTTTCAAACCTGTAGAGTCTTGGGTACTGGCCATGGGAAGAGGTGGTTCCGACTCATAGATTCATGTGAGAGTATTTCTTAAGATGATGATAAGAAGATGATACAGGCCTTAAAACTATAAAAAATTAAAAACTAATTATGATTTTTTTCAGTTATCTATATAAAATGTTATGAAGAGATCATTGAGAAATAAGCTCAAGTTTCATGGAAAATGTCCCAATTTTACTGAAAGGGAACTGACCAAGTGGTTAAGGGTTACTTATTGAAGATTATAAGCCAGAAATGTGAGTTAATTTCATTGTGAGAGAACAAGTTTAGATCTATACATTTTACATGAAGTAATTTTGTTAGAGCTGATTTATATGTAAGTCATGAAAACTGAAGTTTATTTTTCCCCAAAGCTGGAGGCAAATTTGGCTTAAAGCCTAGAAGAATTGAGTGCTAGAATGTTCTTTTTGATTCCTCACAGTAAAATTATTGCTGTTTGGGTTCATCTTCTTTCTGTCATTTCCACTGGCTATATGACAAGGTTTATTTTATTTTGTTTTGTGTCATACTAAATTGTCAACGTCTAGTGCGTTGGGGTCCCTGGGTAAGGGTCATGAAATCACCAGGGACCCCAATGCACTAGACGTTGACACTAAATAATTCATGTCAATGGTATATTTCACTTTGTTACATTTGTCTTTAATATTCAGGATTAAGCCATTAAATTATCAATTGTCTGATCCTTCTTCAATGTGTATCACTGAGATGTTACCTATACATATGAAAATTACATTTTTTAATTTTGTATTTAGTTCTTTCAACTCAGCTTATAGAAATGTTTTTACCGTAACCCTTTTTAAAAACAATAAGACAGGCTCTGGTGGCTCATGCCTGTAATCCTAGCTACTCAGGAGGCTGAGATCTGAGGACTGCTGTTCAAAGTCAGCCCAGGCAGAACAGTCCCTCTAATCAACCACTCAAAAACTGGAAGTGGCTATGTGGCTGAAGGTAAAGCACTATCCTTGAGCACGAGTTCAAGCCCTATGACAAACTAAACTAACAAAGAGAAAACAATAACAGCAAAACATACCTGTGCATGTGATATCATTTTTACTTTTAGCTCAAAGAAAAAGTAGAATAACAGACATTAGAATTAAAATTGCTAATCTTTTACATTTATTAATTTTGCTTACTGTATTCATCAGTGCTCTTATTGGCCATAAACTCTCCAACTGTTTGTAAATTATCCAATAATTAAACTGAATGATATCAAAGCATATTTAGCATTTGTTTTAATTTTTAAAATACAGTTGAAAGGTAATTAAAAGACAAAAAAGTTGAAATAATCTTGGCAATGTTTGGCATAATTATGCTAATAAATACAAGATATGTACAGCTTGGGATTTTATTTTTATTGGATTTCCCAGATATTTCCAATGTTTCTAACTGCATTGCGGACTGGCCAGCCACCACTTTGAATATACTGATGTCATTACCACAATTTGTGACCTTAGTATTATGACATAAATATAAGCATTATGATAGAAACTATAAGAATCAATATTCTTATTCAATTGGTTTACACATAAAAGGTTTATATATTTCATATCTATACAATGGAGGAGGACTGCCATTTTTTTAACTAAATGACAAAATAATTTTTTATTACAATCATTCCATAGAAAATCCAAAGTTATCACTAAACTTTGAAACTTTTCTTTGGGGGTGGGAGGGGGCGGTCATAGGGCCTGACCTCTGGGCCTGGGCGCTGTCCATCAGCTCTTCAGCTCAAGGCTAGTGCTCTACCACTTAAGCCACAGGGCCACTTCTGGCTTTTTTTTTTTTTCTGCTTATGTGGTGCTGAGGAATCCAACCCAGTGCCTCATGCATGCAAGGCAAGCGCTCTACCATCAAGCCACCTTCCCAGGCCCACCTTTTTTGTTGTTGTTGTTGTTGGTCATGGGGTTTGAACTCAGGGCTTGGGTGTGGTTCCCTAAGCTCTTTGCTCACAGCTTAGCACTACCACTTGGAGCCATAGGACCACTTCTAGTTTTCTGGTGATTATTTGGAGATAAGAGTCTTCTGAGCTGGCTTTGGAGCACTATCCTCAGATCTCAGCCTCTTGAGTAGCTAGGATTACAGGTATGAGTCACAAACACCTAGCTTCAAAATTTTATTTTAGATACATGTTTTTTTTTTATTATCTTTAAGTAATTGTACATAGGAGCTGCCTTTAACAAAGTAGTTTATAAATACAATGCATCTTGACCAATGCCATTCCCTCCAACATTCTCACTTACCCTGTCTAAACCACCACTTCTTTCACTTTTCTCAGTTTCCACAACTTTGAAAATTATTTTGTATTTATTTTTATTTTTTAAAAAATTATTTTATTGTAAAGATGCTGTACAGAGGGGTTACAGCTACAGGAATAAGGTAATGAGTCCATTTCATGTTGAGCATTGTTACCCCTCCTTTGCTGTTCTCCCACTATTTCTCCCTCCCCCACCTTCTGCATCCCTCCCCCAAAGTTGTAAAATTGTTGTTTTTTAATGTTCCCTATTCAATTTTTTTGTTGTTTCATGGCTTGTATCAAATTGCTATTTTTAGAGAGGACTGTACATCAATTTTCTTTCTCAAAAATGTCTTTTAAATTTGCTTTCTCACTTTTCTTGAAGTCATTTTTCCTTAGTGTATGGAACTTTAATTAAATCTCTGCATACTCACCCAAATACCACTTTACTCTTTCTGTCAAGAACATTTAGTTTAAGTTCTCATTTATGTCCAATTCCAGTACAAAGTGGCTTAAACCCATCCTTGTTTTACTCTTGAGTTACAAATTCAGGATCTGAAACCCTAGTTCATATGTAAATGATTCTCCATAAGAAGCAGCTCTACACTAAATTGGAAACTTAGGTCCAGATCCTCTTTCTATTTTCTTTCCACCATTTTTACGGCACTCACTCTTAGAATTGTGGCTTCTGCATTACAGAAATCACTTGCATTTCTTCTCAACAACATAATTTAGAAACAAAAACATGATAGACTCTATCAAGAACTAGTTCTATTGTTCTACATGATGATAGAAAGGTTCATCTGAAATACCTACCAGCAGGAATCCTGGGGGGCAAAGATCCTCCTCCTGGCACTGGATTTGGGGCCTGGATACTATTTAGAAAACCTGTCCTCAGGAAGCTGGGGCAAAATGCTTCCACCCCAATGGCTGGAAAGGATCCTATGAAAAGACAAAAAAAATTGATATTGCTCAGTATTCTTTACAGGAAAGTTACTGATCATTTATATGAATAAAACCTAAACTCAACAAAGAGGAAGCTGTGGAATTAAAGATCTGGTATGCAATTTTTCTCATAAATGTGTAAAAATCAGTGTATTTGATGTAGCAAAGAATGTTACTTTTCATTAGTGATAATCAGTGTGCACAGTTTTTAACTTGCCACAATTCCCTATTACAAATAAGACATGAGAGTATGCAAAGTTAGAGCCGTTTTTTTTTTTTTTTTTGGTCGGTGTGGGGCCTAAACTCTGGGCCTGGGCACTGTCCCTCTTGAACTCTAGACTAGCGCTCTACCACTTAAGCCACAGCACTACTTCTGGGCTTTTCCTTGTTACTGCATATATTTGTCATTGAGCTCAGTGGCAATATCACAATGTCTTGCAATGCAAAGTGTTTTCTGTATTGTAATATCTCATTGTGGTCTGGGAAAACAAGGTAAATGAAGGCATTTCTATGACTACTAGGTAGAGGTGATCATATTATATATACACATATGTATTATAAAATATAAAAATGAGCATTATTATTCCACAATACTGTGAAATTTGGGAAATTATGTAATCACTTAATCACAATTTAAAAAAATAACCTCGGGGAAGGTAGGGAGGGAAGGGATAGCAGGGGGAAAACAATGGAGGGGGTAACAATGCTCAATAGGAAGTGTACTCATTACCTTGCTCATGTAACTGTAACCCTCTGTATAGTATCTTTACAATAAAAAATTTAAAAAATGTACACATACATATACATAGTCTGTATATACTAATGTACATACATTGTATGTAATGTACATATAATATGTGCATACATGTTTATATGTATCTACAAATATACATATACATATGTATATATACAATGTATATACATATATTATGTATTATAAATAGTATATATTATATATGCTATATAGTTATAGTTATATATTCTATAGTATATATTTTATATCCTATATACTATATATCCTAGTATATATACTGCATAGTATATATACTTACTTAAACTAACAAAAGAAATATGAGTGTTATAATGGTTAAGATAATGATAAAAAATGAATATTTTATTATATACTGTGAAAAATGGATATAATTTTAGCTGATTATAGATGTACTAAAGCCTAGTAATAGCAAACTAATATTGAAGAATATTAGATTATAAAAAGAAGGAATAAATTAGTCATGTAGAGCCAAGAGGAAAAGGATATGTGAAATTATCTTAATGGAAATTTGAAGAAAAACAAAACATACAGAGCAGTGAGTCTAAAGACTGTGCATACGGTACACATTTTGAGATTTTTATCTGGTTTTGCTATTTTTGCCAAACTACTAACTTAGAAAAAGTGCCCATTATTTTTAACTCCTTGAAAGGACTGAAATAAAAAGATTATTTTTGTTGCTATGATTACAGTGATTACTATTTTTGTTGTTGCAACAGCTTGTCATATTTACTACCAGCTTTCACTTCCTAAACTTGCTGCATCATTCTTAACGGATTCATTATGTTCCTGTACTGTGGTTTGAAAGGTCTTTCATTTATTGCAGTTTCTTTTTCTAAAGGAGCTGTCATTTTTCTTATAGATAAAAAAAAAACAGAAAAAGTGCTATTCAGTTGAGATATCATACCATGTGATGCAATACCATCTGATTTTGCCTCCTTAAGGTCAGATATGTCAACAGGAGAAGATGAAGCACTACAGTTGTAAGTTTTCATGAATCAGTCAAGAAAAAAGTAAAATTCTCGTCTGTTAGAATTCCCTATCTCTGGATTGAAAATAAATTAAATTGTAGGATTTTTATATGAAGTGATTTCATTCAGTTCACCCAATTGTTCAAGTTGCTGAAATTCTTTGACTAGTTCATAATTTTAATAATTGTAAATGTATTAGTTACAAATTATTTATTTTGTAACTGAAGAATAAACACTGCCTAAAATGTATGGCAGGAGAAAGTTCAATTTCCATGAGTATTTGGGTTTTAGTATTGTTTACTAACTGAAATACTTGCATTTCCAGTTTATTAGGGGTCTTGAGTCTTTGAGTTATACAAAAGTTCTCAGCTTAAGAGTGGTCACTTCACATTTTGGTGATTACAAATTATGACTGGGAAAATATTACTAGCATTTTGTATGTGGAAAGATGAAGATGCTGCAATAATGTACTCTCTGGTTTTATCTCCAAATGCTAATAGTATCTACTGAGAGATTCTGTACAAGATTAAAGAGCCAAAGTGAATTTTTTTGGGAGAAAAAAGATCTAGCTTTCATCTAGGTTTAGAATGTAAAAATATGACAAGTGGATATCTCTTTATCCTTTTATCCATTCTTTGGTCAATCACTTTTTGAATTGTTCATTTATGCTGTAAATTTATTTAGATTTTGCATATCACACTCATTTCTTTCTCTCTGTCTCTGTCTCTCTCTTCTTTCTCTGTCTATCTCTGTATCTGTCTCTGTCTGTCTCTGTCTGTCTCTGTCTCTGTCTGTCTCTCTCTTTTTCTCTCTGTGCATGTACATACATCAGTGCAGCCAGGTATTCAGGCTTGAATTCAGTCAGGGCCTTGCAATCTTGCTTTTGCTCAGGGATGGAACTCTACCATTTGAGCCATGCTTGTATTTTTGTTGCTTAGCTGGAGATGATTATCTTGAATTTGTATTCTCTGGCTGGCTTTCAACCTGCATTTTCAAATCTCAGCCCCTTGAACAGCTAGAATTATAGGCCTGAGACACAGACAACTATCACATATATATTTCTAATACAAAAAAATAGAAAATGAAATTTTTTGATGTTACACTTAATTTTCAGTAAATGTCTCTAAATAAGCGAAGACAAAGATTCAATCATTTTATCTATCTGCTAAATTCTTATAAATGGAAAAAACTTCTACAATTAAATTTGTGATTTCCTCTTTACCTGAATTGCTATCTTTAATCCTAATTCTTCAATACCAAATTGAAGATAATATAACATTATGGTTTGGGGTTTTTACTTATATCCTTGAGGTCATTGCAATATAAATTTTATAGATTTCTCACTCAGTTACTGTGAGACAGGTCATAATAAAAGTATGTAAGCAAGAGGGTCATGCCATGGTTAGGCATTGTATAATTAATTTTGAAGTGCCTTTAAAAATAAATTTTGACCTTTTTTCCATGAGTTATTTTTTTAAACTTTTAAGTCTTTGTAGCATGTATGCAATGCAATTATGGTTGCTGTAACTTAGTTGTTTTGTTTATTTTTTGAAGTTTATAGCATGAACAAGGAGAATTAAAATAGTCAGAAATCAATTAAGATCCTTATTGAGAAAAGTATTTCAATTTTCATTTAAAATAAAAGTTCTTTGACTTTTTAAAGGCAATTATAATTATTAAGTAGCATTACAAAGAGGTTTCAATTGTGTAAGTCAGGTTTTGAGTACAATGCATCTTGATCAGTACCATCCCTTCCATTTCTCCCCATTTTCCCTTCCCCTCAATTTCCTCACTTATAAAAGGATAAACTTCCCACAATTCCCTTCAGGTTATACATATATTACATAATTATTCTTTTATTTGTTGCTTTGAATAAAGCTTATATATTTCCCCTGGTGAGGGGTATATCTACTTTTTATATCTCTATTTTTATTCAGTGAGACTCATATTCAGTGGAATATATATTCAATGGGCTATGGGAAATAAATTAGCAAATAAGAACCTGGAATAAATTTGCTGTCTGTTAATATTTGAAGTAGGCTCAATATTAAAAATGCCTAGGTCTGAAGCAAGCCTTTAAGTTCTGACTCTACCATTTACTAACTGATTAGTCTTGAGTATCATAGAGCTAATGATATTATAGAGCTAGTAATAATGAACACACTGGCTTATTATGAGTCACCTGGGAAGTGTCTATTATCAGTCAGCAGTACATATTTGATAAGTGGAAGGTGAATATTTTCTGTCTTTCTCCTCTTTCTTAATTTCATGAACTGGACCTACATTTCATTTCTCCATGCTCTCTTTTGTTGTCACTATCTGAAAGGTCCTTCTGGTCTTGGCTGATATCATTTTATTCAAAATATATTCTGCATACCTGGCAAGAAATCAATCTCTGGATCTCTGTATAATCGTGAACACTATAATACAAAGAAATACTATTATATAGTGCAATAGTTATTATTTCTTTTTTTTCCTCCCAAACTCCCAAGCTCCTTTTGGAGCTTTCTGGGTGTAAGAAACAGAAATATCAGCTTGGTGACAAATGCATTCAGTTGAACTGCATTAATAAACTGCATTTAACTGAAGACAACTAATTCAAATGTTTTTTGTAGACACTGTAGAGACTGAATAACATATAGTCCATGGATTAGGTTAGCTTGTGGGCTTCAGCTTCTCCAGTAGGCTGTGAACATTTAAGAGCAGAGACTGGTCAATCATAATGATGTATTCTTTTCTACTTGACCATCTTCAGAACTTGAATATGTAATATTTATTAAGCTGAATGAAAATCACATATATATGATATAAATTGTATTATTTAAAGGTACTTTCATCTTGTACAAATAAAAACTAAATTTCTGCTAGATTTTTCAAAACACTATATGCCTTAATTTAAATAAATATCCTCAAAATGTGTAGAGTTTTGTGGAACTTAATGAGATTTATGATTTTTTAAATGCTTATGAAAATCCACTGGTTAGGAACCAGCAACAAGCACATTTTGAAATTTTAAAGTTCTTTTATGTAGCAAGCAACAAAAAGGTACACTGAATTTGAAAGCATATTCTTGCAATTGAGCCGCCGGGGAGCTGGCAGCCTTGAGCCTTGGTTGGCAGAGTTCTACTAAGCTGATTGATTTGATTTATTTATGTTTGGTGTGACAACCCTGTTTAAACTATCTGTTCTTTAAAAATGCTTTTACCCCTTAGGGGTCAAGAAGTCAGCTAAGGAGTTGTTAAGCAACATTTGTTCAC